TATATATATATATATATAATATAGGTACGTGCGTATCTGGCGTATTACGGCACCGATTTATAAATTAAAAACTGTGACCTTTTTTTTCACAGCGTGCTCGAAGTCGGTGTGGTAAGGATGTATTTATTTGTCTTTTTTTTTAGAATTTTATATCAACTTAGATTTTTTTTAAAAAGTAGAATGTTTTATGTTGAATAAATTATGTTTTTTTTTTCAAGTATTAAGTTTTTTAGTGATTTTATTGCTATTTAAAATTTTGTTCGTGTTCTGGAAGTGCATTGATATTGAAGGCATGTTGCTACACTTTTAAAATTTTCCAGTCAACAATATAAATCTATTTTCTATGTGCCTGCCAAATTTAATTTAAAAAAATTTATGCCCAAATACCCTATTTTTCAAGTGGATGTACATTTTCCAAGTGGATGTACATTTTCCACTTTTTTCACAATTACTGTTGCTGTTACACTTTATTAAACAGTTTCTGTTACTGTTACTTCTTGAAATAAATTCCGTTGTTTTTTTTACATTTACCAGTGATTTTTATAAAGTTTTGAAATTTCGTTTCTGTTCTGGAGGTGATTTAATGTTGAAGGCATGTAGCTACACTTTTAAAATTTTCCAGTCAACAGTATAAATCTATTTTCTATGTGCCTGCCAAATTTTATTAAAAAATATCTATGCCCAGACACCCTATTTTATCGTGCAGTCAAGGTATGTATTTCCACTTCCGTTACATAGTTTAAGGCGGGGGGGGGGGGGCAATTCGCTGGTGTTGCATTCAGTGAGCATTCAGTATACTTGTTTTTCTATTCATAATAATGAAATATTTTATAAGAACTTTCATTAAAAAGTTTTACTTTTTTAAAGTAGTCTTTTATTACTAAGAATACTGTTGATTTTTTTAAATAATTGTATAATCGTTTATTGTGTTATTTATTGTATATATTTTTTATTGCTTACTCTTTTCACACATCAAAATCAGTTTCAAGGCTGCCTTGAAACTAATTTAGGTGTGTGAAAAGAGTAAGTAATTTAAATTATCTTTGGCAGAACTTTGCCTTTAAGGCAAAGTTCTCCCAAAGATAATTTAATATGGTGAAATAAAAATTAAATGACACTTTTATATGGGGATTCAGCATAAAATGCAAAAAAAAATATTAAAAACAAAAACAGCATTTTCTCAGCTTTTTTCCATACCCAGAATTTACTATATAACCACCTTAAGCTCTATGATACATAAAAATTATATACATGTTTTATCTATGCGAATAATAATAAATGTATCTACACATTTTTTTATAGGTTAATAGTAATTTTTTAAATTAGTTGTGTTTAAAAGCCAACCCAGTTAAATAGTTGTATTATGATTGTTTGATTTAGTGCATCGTGGGACCTAAAAATGAAACATTTCTACTTGATGGTAAAGCTAAAAGTTAGTTAACTTGTAGTTTTACACTACCAACTCATTTAAATATTGGTTGTAGCAATGGAC